ATGCAAGCTCTGCCTGGTGATTCAGGGCTGACTGGATTCACACTCGAAAGCTAACAGTTCATCTGCGCTGCGCATGAGGTGGCAGGACTCTCGGGCACAAGATGTGTCCCCTGGTGATGTGTCTTGATATCCTCCTCCTTTTAAATGTCATTCATGTCATTCAAGTCAGAAGAAGGGAGTCACAACACAGAAATCAAAACAAAAATGGACAGACTGTTGCGGACGGTGACTCAAGAGAGAAGCTCGGTTCACTAACGAGAGCCTGCACGTGAGGAGGTAAGGAAACGAGCGCCTCTCACTGAGACGCATGCACTGTTAGCTGAATGTGTCTGAGAGGTTTTTACCTGCAGTCTACCTTTTTTATTACATGACACGTGATCCATGGCAAGACATAATGTGCCAACTGCAAACACTTGAGCAAAGAGGAAAACGTCTGAACTGACTGGACTTTATGTACCAACAACTCTTTACTCACAATCCAAATCTGGATGAAATCACTGCAGCAATGTGCACAAAAAAACTGCAACTTATTCAAATATTGTGTCTGCACGTTACATCCATGCAGTATTTGTAGATGTATACTTGATTGCCTCCTGATTATATTTAAAGGTATTTCACTCAAATGCACAAAACAAACTAAACCATTCATTTCCCCTGCAAAAAGAAACAGGGCAAATCATTCATACAAGCCTGGACAATCATTTTTACCAGCAGGTGTTGTTTGCAGCCTGGATGCTTGAATGAAATTTCTGCTTTTTGCTTCTCTTCAAACCACAAATATGAGTCATAAATCCATTTGAAATATCCTGGTCTCCTTCTCAATGGTTTGTGTGCATGAGCTGGGAAACGAGCTGTGTTTTAGAACAAGTCATTTTTTCTCTCTTCTTATTACTAGCCAAGAACGTTTGGTGCCTCAACACCTCACTCAGTTGAGCTAATACTAAAGTAAAGAGTGAGGCTGCATTAAAAATCAAAATGATTAACTCAAAAGCCTGAAATTAAACTGAAACTGTCTGAAACGAAATAACAAAAACCTCTAACTTATGAAGTTCCTGGATGTTGCACCATTCTCGAAGACTTGATTTATAAAATCGAGCATTGGTGCAAAAAGTTCCCGTTCTGCATTACCTTTGAAGCACTAAAGCTTAAGAGACCCTGGGTCCTCTTATGAGGACTTTGATCTTTTAGAGCAGTGGTTCCCAACCGTGGTCCTCGAGGAACACCATCCTGCATGTTTTAGGTTCTTTTTCTGCTCCAGCGCACCTGATTCAGTGTAATTACTTCCTCAAGTTCTGCAGAAGCCTCATTCATTTGGATCGTGTGTCAAAGCAGGGAAACAACTAGAGCTGCCGGCTGAACAACATCTTATCAGGACTATGGTCTCTCTGAAAGTGCTTCATGGACAAAGCTCAACGTCTGGACATCAAATGCATATGTAATGTGTCTAAATAAGTGAAAAGGCACACGCTCTATTCAGCCTCTTCTTGACTGCCTGGCTGACATCCGGGACTGGATGGCTTTAAACTTCTTAAGCTTCAATGAGAAGAAGTCTGAAGTCATGCTGTTCCATCCCAGTGGCTCACTCATGAACCATGACATTGACCTTTTCTCTCTAGCCCCGCTAGAGAAACAAAAGGTCACTAATCTGGGGGTGATAATGGACCCGTCCTTAAAACTCAACAGTCACGTAAACATGATGGTCAAATCCTGTTTTTTTCAGCTGAGACGGCTGTCTAAGCTGAAGCCTATTCTCTCCAAAAAGAACCTTGAGACAGTGATCCACGCCTTCATAACATCTAGGCTTGATTACTGCAATTCACTTCTGTTTGGAATCAGTCAGTCCTCCATTGCTCGTCTACAACTGGTCCAAAATGCTGCAGCCCGATTTTTAACTGGTACAGGCTATAGAGAGCACATCACGCCAGTTTTGGCCTCCCTGCACTGGCTACCCATTCACCTTCGGATCCAATTCAAAATTCTCATGTATGTTTTTAAATCACTGAACAGTTCCGCCCCATCCTATCTCACTGATCTTCTGCAGCCATATGTCCCACAGCGCTCTCTGAGGTCAGCAGACCAGATGCTTCTCTCAGTCCCAGAAACCCGTCGTAAGCTCAGGGGTGACAGGGCTTTCTCTGTTGCAGGTCCACGACTGTGGAATGAGTTGCCACTGAGTGTCCGGCAGGCTCCCACACTCTCAGTCTTTAAGTCTCGCTTGAAGACCCACTTCTATTCGCTTGCCTTTAACACGGTGTGATTTGTTTTGGTCCGGTCTGTTCTCTACTCTGTTGGCCATTTTAGTTAGCTTCTGCTGCTATTTGTATCTGTATTTCTATTTTATGTTTTCCTGTCTGCTGTGCATGTTTTTCTTTTGTACAGCACTTTGGTTGGCCTTGTTGCTGTTTTAAGTGCTATATAAATTAATTGGTATGGTATGGTAAATGTGCTTGCTGGTAGTTTTTTGATGTCTCAAATCGTGTCCTGACAGGACCAGATGTGAAGAGATCTTTTTTGTAATACCACTATCCATCCTCACCTTTTTCTATCTAAAAAAAAGTATTCTGATAAAGAATAAGAAGCTGCGCTCTTGTAGCAGCAGCAATGTGCACTCTGCCCCTCTTTCGGACGACTGTACGAACAATCTCACTGTATCCCGGTACAATGATAATAAAGCTTATTCTGAACACATGGAGGATGGTGTTCCTCAAGGACCAGTATTGGGAACCATTGTTTTAGAGAACTGCTTATCATAGAAAGCTAAACCTTTGTTTTTAGAGTACCGGCAATTGGAACCTCCTGACCCCAATTTGCAAAGAAAAATATAAAATGCAAAAGTAAACCTACTATCCTCATATGTGGACATCATTTATTCTAAAGCTACTTCCTGTACCATGACAGAGTCTAGGTATTTAACTTACTAGGTCCTACTAATCCCATGGTCCTTGGAGAAAGAGAAAATGCACACCAAGCTTGGGTCTCAGGAGATTAAAGGCCAGATTTGGCTGCACAGTGGTCTAGTGGTTGGCACTGTTGCCTCACTGAAGAATGTCCTGGGTTCAAGCCCCTGGTTGAACCTGTGGTCTTTCTGTGTGGAGTTTGTTTTCCTTGTGTTTGTGTGGGTTTTCACCAGGTGCTTCGTTTTCACTCCACAGTCCAAAAACATGCATAGGCAGCCTTCAGGCCCAGGCCTCCCTTGCAAAAGAGGTCGGGAAATAAAAATAAAAAAATAAAATCTGATGCTGTGATGAAGGTGATTTGCCTGGAAACCAGGTCTGATCTGATCAGTTATAATGACCCAGTATGAAGAAGGTTTGTGATAATAAAGTTGTGTTGCTTGTCATAAAAATAATTATAATCAAATGGGCTGTCGTTTTGTTATAATATTTATCCAATGCTGACTTTGCCAGGGGCCCCGAAATACCATCCCCACAAAATGTTGCATAAACTCACAACTTTGACCAATTGTTTTAATGTGTGCTAAATTAGTGTCATTCTTTTTAAAAAAAAAGTCCCAAATAACTTGCCATATAGGTAAGAATGTCATTTTGACAATGAGTAATGTTTTTATTGATTGTCTAAAGCAGAATTATAGGAGTGTGGTTTGATTACTGTATATTTACATATATGTTACAGCAGCCTGCCATACAGAAGTGTATTTAAAACAGGTTTAGTCACCAAAGAACTGTGTGAAAGTTTTTAACAAACAACATTTAGTAGCAGCAATAAGCTTCAACTCTCTACTGATCAATGTAGTTTGTTTCTGAGCCATCCCAAAACTTTACTCTGAATGTAAACAAAACTAAATTAAAAAAACACTCAATTGTAATATATAAGTAAAGTTTATTTATATGTTTTCAGTAAGTCAGTGAAAATGAAAGGAACAAACATGAACGTGCAGTTTAAATGTTTATTAATTGCCAGACCATCACAAATAAAAGCGACAATTATTATTTAAAATGAATTTAAAATTATAAATGCAAAACAAAAACCACATTTTGGTGCAAACGTTGCTTCAATATTTTGGGATTATGGACTTCAAATGGACTTTTTTTTTTGCATCGTTTGTTAAAGAACTTTTACTTTGAGAAGCTTCTAACATGTTACTAACATTATAAAATCAGACAATCCATGTTGTTTTATTAACCCCTCTGTAAGTTTTTAACATGTTATGGTGTGTGAATTTCCAAACTAAGAAAACATGAAGTTTAATGTTATATACGATACAGAAGTTTAAAAGCAGCTGGTCCTGAAATGGAGGCAAAGCCAGACCTTTTGCTCTGGATCTCTGGTCCCTCTGATGAAATCAATTTCTCTCCAAATATAAACTCGGAATAATTTAGCATCCATTTACATTTTTTTATGAAGCTGTGTTTAATGCCACAAATTTTGCAATGATATTCATGACAGTAAAATGATTAATACGAGGCAGATTTGGATTATTATAATCGTCTAAAAATAGTTTGATCTCACTCAAAAGTTGACCTCTGTGCTCTTGGATTAAATAGTCCATACATCCAATTATTAGTTCTGTAAGTTCTGCACGTCCAAGTTTCTTGGCTTTGAATGATTCTCGTTGTCATCACAGAATAAAATCAACTTTCTTCAAAGCTGTCTGTGTGGTTCCCTCAGGGTCTGAGTGTGTTCTTTGCCTCACAGCATCACACACACAAAACCAGAGTGACAAACTGTCTCACTCGGCCTGCTGAATGGGATGAACTCATTTTTCTTGCTACATTTATTCTTAATAATTTACATAATAAAAGAAACTGCGAGTACCAAGTTATGGCCTTTAGTAGAAGACTTTCTTGTGGGTGATATTTGTCAATGCATGCTTTAATTTTGGGTGTTTTTTTTATGTAAAAAGCAGCAAAATGACGCCTCGTTTAAAAAAAATCTATTTCTAAATCATTACGTGTTGGATCTGAGTACATCCTGGTCTCTAAAGGACACGCATGCTATAAATAACACATTTAAAATTCACTAAATGAATCTATTTTATGATAAGGTTCAGACTTTTGGCTATATAAGCAGTTAAAGCAACAACGGGATTAACAAAATGTGAATTATATCGAGTATGGTTATGCAGATCTAACCCAGAAAGACGTTTCCATAGAAGCACTCTCCCCCGGCCTTTTTGTCTCCGGTGTCGTCCACGTACTCTGGGAAGTGTGCCCCCACGCAAACGTTAACCACCTTCTTCACTTCAGCTGGCAGACCCCTCAGCTTCTGTGCATGCTCAGTCAGAGCCTCTTGATTGAGCTGCGGACACAGAGGCCAGATGTTACAGGATGCTTCAATTTTAGTGTCTTAATTTCTCAGAGGTGGCTCTAATGAATTTCTGCATTCAAAAACACTGGCTTGAATCCAGGATGGATTGATTTTAGACAAGATGTTAAGCTGAAAATGTCTCAATGCACACCTGGTGTTAAATGCAGTTGCAACTATAATTTTTACACTTCCTGCGAAAATGCAGTGTGAATGCTTATTGCAGAAGACCTTGCTGGAAAACAGCTGAAATTAGCTATAAAGACATGCTGAAATGTAGCTGAAATGGAAGAACAAACCTAAATTAGCAGAAGAAAGCTGAAAGAACATGTTTGCTGAATTAGGTTTAAATAAGCAAAGATTGGTTAAAAAATAGTAATAAAAAAGAGGAAATTAGCTAAAAAAAAAAATATATATTTTTTTTAAAAGCTGAAAAGTAGCTCAAAAGTAAGAAAGAAACTTAAACTACCAGAAGTGAAAGAGCTGAAGTGAGCTAAACAAATGAAATATGCTGCAAAAAAAAAAAAAAAATCAAATTAGCATAAAACAGCTAAATAGTAGCTAAAATAGCAGACAAAGTTAAAACTAGCAGAAATAAGCTGAAAGGAGCATAACAAACTGAAATTAGCATAAATAAGTTAATTAGGCTGAAAGTAGCAGAAATTAACACAAAAAATTGAATTTATCTGAAAACTGCTGAAATTAGCTAAAAAAAAAAAGCTTAAAAATTAGCTGAAAAGGTAGAACTAGTTTAGATTAGCAGAAGAAAGCAGAATTATCAGAAAAAAGCTGAAATTAGCAACAACAACAAAACCAGTTAAAAAGGCAGAAAGAAGCTTAAATTACTAGAAGGAAGCGGAGAGCACATTTTTGCTGAATTAGGCTGAAAAAAGTTTGAAATTATTGTAAAAAAATGTGGAAATAGCTGAAAATCTACCATCAGCATAAAAACAGCTAAAGTAGCTGAAATAGCAGAAAAAACTGAAAGTTGTATAAATCAGCTGAAAGGAGCATAACAAGCTAAAATTAGCAGAAAAAAGTTAGAAGAGGCAGCAAAATGTTGTAGTTAGCAGAAATAAAAAAAATAACAAAAATAAATAATAAAAAAAAAAAGTTTATATTTGGACAAGGAAGCTGAAAGAAGCTGAACCAGAACAAAACACGAAAAACCAGTAAAAGGTTGTAAACAGATCTAAAGATCTGAAGGATGTAAAATGAGTTCAATTCATTTTCTATGAGGGAAAAAAGTGGCAGAAAACACTAAATGTTTCAAAAAGCCAAAGTTGCACCAACACCAAAAGTCATAGCAGGATTGTTCTGAAAGAGCTGAATGTTAAGATTTAGGATTTGCTGAAATAGTACAAAATTAGTGGAACGATACCGAAAAACATATGGAAGAAAAATAGATCACAATAGAGTGATAAACATTCACACTATTAAAGGACTAGCTGTACTTGCACATCGTATGTGTTGGAGATAAATCTCAGCTACTTCCATGTCAAATTTAGGCTCAATATTTGTGAAATTAACTACGTTAAGCCTCTAATGCAGCTGCCATCTTAATTTGCAGTCAGTTTTGGAGTTAAATCCAGAGATTATTTCCTGGAAGTTGTAATCAGTTATTGGCTCAGGGGATATTGGCAACAGTCAGGCTCACTATAGTCCGCCTTCGTCTTTCGGCGGCAGCTGATAAATATTACCTCACATTACGTTATCCTCAATATAAAGATCATTTCTTCTGCCTCACTTGAATTCCTCCCACTGATTCTCACATCAAATATTGTACTTGGAATCTAAAACTATATTTGAACAATCCATCCATCTGGCATTCGCACGTCAGTGTCGAAACTGTTTCACACCTCTGTTCTCAACGTTAACTGCCAAGACTTCTCCAATTCAAAGGAGAGCCTTGTAATTATATAGATAAAAAACTAAACCTCTGACATTATTTCCAGCTGTGGGAGCTTGGACCGTTGTTTTCTGGATGTGTCACTCTGCAGGATTACGTAGAACCCAGATGGTCGTGGTTAGACATCAGTTTGAAAACTTGTGATTTGTGAACAATATGAATTGCAGATATCTGTGCGGGTACGCGTTGGACCAAAACAGTTAAAAGGCTAAGCATCTGTTGAAGAAATCTACATCACCTGCCATCTTTAGTTTTGTAGTCTAAGATCCTGTTGAGGACGACTCTCAGCTACAACCACGCCAGCCTTCAGGCCAGCATCTATAAAACTGACTAAATTAAAGCCATTTTTGTGTTGGCTAGGGTCGATTAGCTGTGGCAGCCATCTTGAAGTGGATTAACTCCAAATCTTAATGAGTTTTAGCTGTACAGCCATTGATTAATTGACGAGTTTCACTCAAATCTGTCCAATGGTTCATGAGAACACATCTATAAAAATCGCTTTACACAACGACCAAGACTGTGAGGAGTTCATCAGGGTCAGTCAAGTTTGGATTATTGGTAAGCGTCAGGGGATTATTGGAATAGTTTGAAGGGTCTCATTTTTCTTTCCCAGAAGACGAACGCCGCATGCTTTGAACGGACAAAATAACGTGATTGTTCCTGGTTTCGCTGCATCTCTTCCATTGAAAACATAATTTGTAAAAGGGACAAGACATATTGTCCATACCTGATTAGTCAGGACCTTGATGTCCTCCAGTGTGGCGGCTTGTTTCTTCATCAGAGCCTCTTGCTGTGGACTGAAGTCAGACTGTAACACAGTAAAGTACAAGCCATCTCACTTCTTGGAAACATTATCGATTTGCGGTTTTCAGTCTGTGTGAACATGCTTGTGCATGTGAGGGATGCAGACGGTTAGTTTGTCTCCAAGCAGTCCGTCTCGTGTTTCTCCCTGCGAGCGTATGCAGACGCACCCATGGGACGAAACCTGAGCGCGAGGATCGATGCAGTTAAGTCGCAGGTTTTGTTTTTGGTGGGATTTTTGCACTCGAACGCTCAATACCAGGGCGCTGCTGATTAAACAAGCGAGCGTGTTATTAAAGGATGTGGCCGTTAATGGGTGAAAGTTGATTAGGTTGTTTAACTTGAACTGGAGTGTGACCTAAAAGCGTGGAAGGGTCAGGGAGGTCTTCTGCCGTGCAGATGGAGTCGATTGTGGAAAAGCGTGGTCATTAACCTAGATCCATCAGGTTTGAATCCTAATGAGCTGGCAGAGAAACGAGAGCCGAGCTCGGTGGGTAATCATCGACCACACGTGGATAACCTGTTCTCTGAAAACAGCTTCTGAGTAATGGGCAGGCCTCACCAGTGCTGAGCGACTGCTGCATTTTACTCACTGATTAAAAACAGTGTCGGGGCCTTTTGTAGGTAAAAGTCGTGGTGCATTTATGTGTGAGCTCCTGGAAGCATGTCCAGGATGAGAGCATGTTCATTCTAACATGCTTAAAGTCCCCTTTTTTTTAATTCAGATCTGTATACTCTTTGTTGGCATGGCCACATCTGTTTAATAATCCAGCTGCTGATACAGAGACCCTGCTGTTTATTAACAAACATGATGCATGTATTTCTCTTTATAGTTTATGCTTTGTTTTTTTTTTGGACTCTTCCTACATCAGCATGCATGTGCTATTTTAACCATTCATACATCAAATGGTTCAGCTTGGTTTGGAGCAGGGACTTTTGGTTTTTGCAACTTATATGCTTTTTAATTAATTTAACTCTATTTAAAATGAAACTCCCCCGTAGAAATACATAAATTATCTTTACTTTCTTTAAACCAATGCTTGAAATCTGCTTCAGCAAAGCCACTTGCTCTATTTGTGTCTTTTTGTGCTACCTTTAGCTTTTAGCTTCAAAATGTGTGACTCATCATTTCTGCTAAATTTACCTTTTAGCCAACACTATGATGATTTAAGCATTCACGGTAGTTATTATGTAACGTTTAGTTACCATTCTGCTTCTTTTAACTAATGTGCTATTACTTTCAGTTAATCATTTTACTACTTTAAGCTACTGTCCTGTTCTTTTTAGTTTTTAGCTTCACTTTAGCTATTTTTAGATTTAGCTGTCATTTTTCTACTTTTAGCTTGTAGCTACCGTTCTGCTACTTTTAGCTATTGTTCTTCTCTTTTTAGCTTTTAGCTACTATTCTGCTACTTTTAGCTATTGTTCTTCTTTTTTTGCTTTTAGCTACAATTATACTACTTTTAGCTATTTTTCTTCTCTTTTTAGCTTTTACGTATTATTCTGCTACTTTTAGCTATTGTTATTCTCTTTTTAGTTTTTAGCTATCATTTTGCTTACATGTTAGCTACTGTTCTACTTTTAGCTTTTAGCTACCATTCTACTACTTTTAGCTATTTTTCTTCTCTTTTTAGCCTTTAGCTACTATTCTGCTACTTTTAGCTATTGTTCGTTTTTAATTTTAGCTACCATTAATCTAGTTTTACATGTTAGATACTGTTCTACTACATTTAGCTTTTAGTCCCCGTTTTAATATCTAGCTGCTATTTTACTTATTTATGTTTTTAGCTACAGTTTTGCTACTTTTAGCTTTTAATTAACAATATTCAAATTTAGACTTTTAGCTTCAATTTAGCTCATTTTAGCTCTGTTCTGTTTGTCTAAACATTAACAGCTCTATTTCAGCTTCTTTAACAACTTTTAGTCTGTATTTATGACGGGCCTAGTTTAAAGGCGCAGATTGGGGCAAAAGAGGGTGGAGACAGATGTGGGTGCTTCAACGATCCACCCACATTTTTGATGTTACACTCAGCAGGGGGATTTGAACTGACAATTCTGATCACGCGTCCACTTCTTGAGCCTCTGCTCCACCACTCTCCCATCTGACATATTTCATGATGAATGCTGCTAAATGAGTTGTCTCAAAAATTAAAGTTGAATTTTGTCCTTCGTCTTGTCTTAGAGAGGAGCACGCAACAGAAGAATGAATCATTAAATATACCGTCCAGTTCTGCTGCTCTCAGTTCTTTTTAGTCCTAAGACGTTAAGCTTTCCTGTATGTTTGCAAATGTTCTAATTATTGCTGCGTGCACACATATTTAAATCAGAGCACAGTTATAGAGAGTAGTTTCCACTTACACCACTGTCAGGCTGACTTGCCTCGTCCAGAAACTCGGTGCTCATCGCCTTTTTCAGCCTAAAGACAGATACTTCAAATTAGACCACACAATATCAAAAGTTTTGTTCAAATTTATATAACCAGACTCACTGGTTTAGTTTTCTCTCATTTTCATTTCACTATGAATATAAGGCTTTTACTTTTTGATAACCTTAAAATAGACAAGAAGCACAATATTTGATCAGACGTGAACTTACTTTGACTTCTCTGAGGAGGAACATTTGAGGAGTGCTTTCCTCTTTTCTTTAGTTTCACTACAATAATAAAAAAAATACAGCAGCAAGTGAGGAATATGGAGGAAACTGTGCAAATGAAAAGCAGCCCTCCAAACAACCTTTCTCCCTTTAATCAAGAGTTGCAGGACTGAATGTGTATGTTGTGACCTTATCAGAGCGGCCATCGCCTGCCTCCCTGCTGCTGTTTAAACACCTGTTAGATATTAGCTGTCCTGAGATAACCATCTGCCCACTGGGGACCAAACTACACACACACTGAACACAATAAGGACACAAGAAGACCTGCCTGCTGAGGTGATTCATTCATTATTTGAGGCATTTTCTTTGCAAAATGTCAAGTTTTTCACCTCAGATAACACAGACGAGTACACAGCTTCAGGGCACAGATTGGACGAACTCAGCAATGGCTTCTTTTGATGTGTTTGTGTGTTTTATGGATGCTCTCACCTTTCCAAGGTCTTCATTTCTACGGTGTGTCTCTCCATGGCCATCTCCAACAGTTTGGCAAGTCTCTGACAAAAACAGGGAAAAGAAACGGTTCAGTAAGCTCCAGACTAAATAGTTGTAAAAACACAACTTTCTTTTATTTGTAACAGAGCGCTTGACCTCTATGAATTAAACATATGTTAGACCAACACCATCTTCTGCTGGAAATATAACAGAGTTGTAGCTGTTTTGGTCAAACCTTGAAAAAAAAAAGCATGATGCATTATGTCCGGCTCAAAGCATGTGCTCAGGATGACTCTCAGCTACTACCAAGTCCAACTTCAGCTCAATGTCTGTCAAATTTACTGAACTACAGCCATTTTAGTTGTGGCTAAAGCTGAAACAGACACAGGTAAATTAGGGTTTTTGCCTTTCAGCAGCGCACATTAATTATATTAATCAAGGGTGCAAGCATGAATAAGTTAAAGACTGACCCTCTTTGGAGCTCCCGGGCTCTGAACTTTTATTGAGTCTCTGTCTGATATGTTTTTAAAAGAAACTCTGGCTGCTCTTTTCTCATAATATGAGAAAAGCAACAAAAAAATAATAAAGATATTAGATGCGGGAGAAAGGTGACTCCAGCCTTAGTTATATAAATTATGCTATTTTTGGCCAAGTCATTAAATATAATAAAGACGGCCAAGAGCTGTGTGGTTACACTAGAATGATAATCCCTTTTATTAGCCCCTTTTTTTAAGAAGCTTTTAAATATTAATCTGAATGAAGAAACCCCACTCAGCTTATCATCATATACTCTGCCTCCACTTACTGTCAGGCAGAAGAAAAGAAGCAGAAAATTAAATTATTTTAAATTAGGGTCGGTTTGAATACAACCAAAGGAATAGTCTTAAAAGTTTAAAGTAAAATGTTCCATTTGTAGGAAGTAGTTTTTTCAATGGAAGCTGTTTTTTTTTTTTTTTTTTTTTTTGTAAGTTATTTTTATGTTATCCATCCTTTTGTCCTTAGTTTGTTTTTTTTGTTTTTTTTGAGGAATATAGTATTTTATCTTTTAGTTGTATTTCTCCTTGTGGTTTATGTTTTATTCTTCTGTGTTTTGGTGCAGCTTCCTGTGTTTCTTTGCCAGTTCTTTGCAGCTTACCGCTCACACCTGTTCCCCACGATGAATCATCCAGGTGCTGTCACCTGTCACTCACTCTATGTAACCATTTCTGATCACCACCCCAACCTGCCAGAAGTCTCGGTCCTCTCTCTTGTATTCCCTGTGTTTTTATAAACTATTGCTGCCACATCAGTAGTTTATTTAATAAACAAGTTTTATTTTACTCGAGCCTCTCGTGTCTGCCTGCATCTGGGTCCAATCCCACCACTGACCACGATACCTCATACTTTTGAAATATATCACTTTGTACTGTGATATAATTTTGAGAAAACCCTAACTTACATATTGGCTAAAATATTTGTTAATCATGAGAAATAAAACAACCAAAGTAACCAATACAATGTAAGGGATGCACGATATTGGATTTTTGGCCAATATCCAATTTACCGATATGTTAAAACTTATTTGGCTGATAACCGATACCAATACCGATATTTTTCCCCTAGACCTACTTACAGAGACTGCATAGCTTTCTCTGCTGTGGAATTAAAATACTACTTTGTACATTATTCTGCATGGTCTTTGTCAGTTTGACCTGCTACCAAATGCAGATGCCAAAATGGGGGATGGAAATGATTTAACACTTCAACTTGGATTATGTTTAATGTCAAATTTATTCATGACATTTACTCTCTAACACAACGACAACACTCGAACAGTGCACATTTGTAAATTTTCACAAATCTAAACTTAACGGGGTGTGTGACGTCATAATGTTGTGCTGGCGCTGCAGGCATCCTTGTCACTGGGTTGTCATACAAAAACAACACCATATATATATATATATATATATATATATATGAAAAACAGTGCCTTTTATATCAGAGTAATTTTGATGGAATGGCCGATATTTAACTTTATCACTAATACTGGCCGATACCATGCTGATAATATCGTGCATCCCTTTATGGAAGTAAATAAAATTTTGGTGTTCAAGAACCTGTAGATAAACAAACCATAAACTATAAATGAATATATGATTAACTCTTCATTAATCCCCACAAGACAAAAGCGGACAATAATGCTTTGCTCCTCTGTGTGTGTGTGTTAGCAAAATATATAATCAACCCCTGCACAATGTTTTTAGTAAAACTTTCATCAGTGAATGCAGACTGCAACTGATAAACTTTTGGAGCTCGATTCAAGATGCCCCAACAGCCAGCAGGCTTCAGAAAACACATAAATGTCTGCAAATCTGTTAATTTTACAGATACCGACCTAAAATTTGAAGTGGTAGTAGCTGAGAGTCTTTCACAACACAGTCCCTGAACATGAAAGTTGCACGTAACAGCTCCAACTCTATTTTCAAACATGAGATGATCTAAAACTCTGGCGTGAAATATGCATGTCCTCAAGGAATGCTAGGCCTCCAATAAACCTGTGACTAATGAGAGTCAAACTAAAGTCTGAATTATTTTTACCTCTGTAGCACACTGCTCTTTCTTTTTCTTCATCTGCTCACTTTGTTCTGTCCACAGAACCTGCAGCTCCTTCTGCATCTTTTCCTTCTGCTCCTGCACCCGCTCTTTTTTTACATTGTTGTCAGACGTGTTGTCCCCTCCCCTGAACAGTGAAGCACATTTGCAAAGATTTTGAACAGAGTTGATAAACCGACGGACACTGTACGTTCTTAAACGACACATCCTGACAGCTTCGGTGCAGAGGACTGAAGCTCTTCATGAACGCACTAGCTGCAGAGTATTTTACGTGGACCGAACAGAATTTTTAATAAGCTCGACCAAAATGACAACAACTTAGTGGGTTGTCATTAATAAGCTGCAAACAGAGCTGCTCTGCATGAAAAAATATCTTTGATGGATGATCAGACATAAACAAGTGGACAGATGGATCTCTGAACATCCTTCTTCCTCCAACATGATCAAAAGCTCTTTTGTCAAACAGCCTGCTCTATTCCTGCAGGACAAAGGAGGAAAATGAACACATACTCCTTTTTCCTCAGCGATGTCTTCTTTTTAATAGACTTGATGAGGTCGGAGTGTTTCTGGATCACATCTTCTGTTTTTTTCTGACACTTCTTTTCAGCTTCTTTAAGCTCTCTTTCCTGTCGCTTGATGACCTTCACATAGTTCTTGTGCTGTATCAGTTCTTCGGTTGTCACTGTGGAAGGCTCTGCAGCAAACAAAACACAAAAATAGAAAGAAAAGCTTCAAATTAGCGACAAACATCTAATCAACATAAATACTTTATTTCTGCTACAAGTTTTACCAACAGTTCACTGACATGATGAATGATGCACTTCAGTGTTACCTTCACCAGAGGTTTGCAACTGAGTTGGGTCGCTCGATTCTGCAGACTTGACCGATTCATTGGCTGGAATGGACAAGGTCACATCAGCTGCTTTTTCAGGAGTGGGTTCTTCTGAAACAGGCGCTTCAGCAACGTCTTCAGATTTCTGATTATCTGGAGCAGGCTCTGGGTTTGTATCAGGCTCAGTGCCTTCTTCTTGTTTGGATTCAGGAGCCACCTCTGGCTCCGGGGCTGCTTCTTTTCCCTCAGCACTGGGCTCCTCAGACGTCTTCTCAGGGTTTTCTGCATCTGGTCCAGCATCAGGAGTATCAGGAGTCTGAGATTGCTCTGGCTCTGGCGAAACAACCTCTTCTTTAGCTTCTTCTGCACTAGTTGCAGGAGGAGACTGGGAAGAATTGTCAGCACTGTCAGTGTTTGGTGGAGGTTCAGGTGCAGCCTTTTCTGAAGGAGACAAGTTAAATATTTAAAGCTAAAATATGTTTTAGTTTCTGACAACTGTGTTGTCACCACAAGTTGCTTTTTAACCTTCAGCTGGAGTGTCACTCTCTGTGGTTTGCTCTGCTGGGGTTTGGACCACAAGAGGCAACTCATAGGGAGAAATGTAGTCGGAGGATGACTGCAGGGATGACAAGAACAGTCTGACAAAGGTGATCATCTCCCAGGGACCTAATAAGTGCTTTATTAACTCTTGGAGCATCATCATACCTCTTTGGGGGTCTTTGATGGCTTGTCTGAACCCTTTGTAGGATTGAATAAGGCATCTGTGAAATCTGAGGAAGAATCACAAACTTTAGTAGTTTCTAATACAATATAGATACAATACAACACAAGAAAGCATGATATATGTAAAATATGACACAATATAATATAGTAAAATATAATTTGATGTGATATATGATATATTACAAAGCATAACATAAAGTATGTTACAATATGCAGTAATGTGGTATACGCTGCAATACGATATAGCACAATACTATATGATATACAGTATGATACAATGTAATGTGATGAGATACGCCACAATAGGATATGATGAAGTATGGTTTGATATAATAGAATATAATGTGATGTAATATGATACAGTACAATAAAGTACTTTACAATATGATGGGATGTGATGCAATCTGATATAATGCTATATAACGCAGTATGATACTATATGATACAAGTGCAGGACGACAAAGTACAGTATGATACAATTTGATACAATATGATAAAATATAGTAGAGTACAAAACAATTTGATTTGACTGCAGTATAATACGATGAAATACAATACAGCATATTACTGTATGATACTCTACAATACTATACAGTATGGTACAATATGATGCAATATACAATGTTATGATACAATACGAGGAGATACGATACAAGGCAGTATGACAGGAGGCAATATGAGGCTATAAGAAATGAGGTGCTACAATATAAATGATACAGTATGAGGTAATAAAATACAATACAATGCAGTATGTTATGAGACGATGCATCTGTGATATGGCACAATAAAATACATACTATTGACCACTTGGAAAAAAATTGTTTTGGACTAATTCACTCACTTGAACCTTAACCACAATGAAAATCAAATGCTCCTGAGCTCCAAGCATCCACATTATTATCTGACTTCTCCCTGATTGTCATCAATAACATTGACGGAAGGCAATTATTTTCCTTTGAGTGAACACAAAGTGGAAAAATAAGCACCTGCAAAGGCAGCAGGGATGTAGTCCTTGACCTCGATGTAGACAAAGAGAGCAGGCAGAGTGAGAGGCATGTTGCTCTCACTGTGCAGGCAGATGTGATGAAAGCCTGCAGGGCGAAAATAAAAACCTCAGTGATTTTAAAAAATAGCAGCTCATCTGAAACAAAAGCGTCCTTAAAAAAACAAAACAGCAAACTATTGGAGCTTCTAAACGAGTCAGTGATTTAAAATTATGTGATGGAAATGATTTGCTGTTCTCTGGCCTGACTGGATGGCATCGACAGGGATAATTCTGTGTCCCACAAATTTCCCGTTCTCTTCGTGAACCACAATTCTCAGAGACGCCATTTCTGGGAGCAGGATCTATGAAAAAAAAAAACATGCATGTTAGTGCTGAAATCAACAACACATTAGAATTTAAACACACAATTGTCATTCATGCACTGTGCTTATCAGAGCTCAACCTTCTCAAAAACAAAAGGCTCCTCATTCCACACTGGGTTAATGGCGTTGGGTGTTGTGGACCACTTGGTGCGGTATTTCTTCTTGGGGTCTCCTGGCAGTCCAATCACCTCCACCTCAACCCCTGTTTTCACACTCTTGTCAGATAGAAACTGTCCTGAGTAGATCTGTTTGAGACAATAAGATTTGATGGTTAATAGCACTGAGTGTCTGCATGCAGATGAAGCTGTGGATGTAAATTGAGCTCACGTTCTCGCTCATCCAGAGTCCATTTAAAAACAAGGAAGGTTTTTAGATACAACAGGCAGCTTTTATTATTATGGATTCTGCATTTAAATGCATCTAATAAGAACACACATTTCCCTGAGCAGCTGAGGCTAATTTAGTCCTTAAATTAGAGCTTTGTTTTATGTTTTACTTTCAGTACTTATATATGTGTGTGTCATCACTTCGAGCGAACTTGCATGAAAGATTTGGCAATTTGTTTTACGCTGGATGCCCTTCCTGATGCAACCTGGGCTCGAACCTACAACCTCAGGATTACAAGATTACGGCACTGACCACCAAGCTACCGTATCCCCATATATATATGGATCAAAACAGCTACTTTGTAGATCTCATTCTCAACTTTTGAATATTTCAGTCTAAAGCTCTGGCATGAAAGGTGATGGGTGAATTCAAGTCATTTTATTTTAATTAGTGTGCTCAGATAACAGAATAATACTAATAATGAAAGAAAACATGAAAGACTGGTGAGGAGAAATCAATAAGCAAAGGCTTGAACCTGCCTTTATGGTCAGAGTGCTTGCCACAACGGTGTCGATCCTGTCACAGAAAGGGTCGAACTTCTTATCGCTTCGACGCATGACGTCGTGTTTGAGAAGGTAGCCCGTTCTGCCATTGTACTCAAACAGGGCCATGTTCAGCTGCATGGGGAAATCTGGAAAAAACGCACAAACACATTATGCCACCTCTCTGCAACCTCAGGAGCAGCAGGGATGCAGATGTGCATCAGAGGGCTTCGCGGCACAAAGAGGTGCAACACTGACCTCCAGTGGCAAAAAAAAGGTTACTCTCTGAGCTCTAAAACTAACTCTCATTCAAGTGTCAGAAATGTGACAGTTCTATATGTTAGCTTTAATATAATAGGCTTTTTTCAATATCAGTATCATCAGAAAAAAAACTCACTAATAGATTATAATAATCTGTTAAATACTAAAACGATCATACTCTCTCACAAGGGTGGATTATTTGTTCACTATGATATGACACTAAGAAAATCCTTATCTTGATTTTTCTTAAAGTTCAAAAAGCACATATGAAGCTGGACTAAGCAACACTTTATTTTGTTTTTGGATTGCCTACTAGCATAAACAAAGTTACTGATGTGTTATATATGTTTTACTACAGTAAGGAATTGTAATTGAATGAAAGTTACAAGAAACCTGGATATTCCTTCATGTTTACTAGGACATTTATGATTTTTAAGGATATTTAGCATCATATTTTAGGTTGTACCCATTGTTTGATAGTTGAGAGCCACCATTTGGCAGCCAACGTTCCAGAAAGGCTGAGGGCTGTAGTTGGACGAGTCCATTCTTGTCCCTTTTGGATAAATCCTGCTCATCTGTCTCTTATTGTACCTTTGAAGTGTTATTTAGGAAGCCTATATACAACAATATTTGTTTTTATTAAACCCAACAGATTAAAACTGAATATTTTTTCTCAGAAATTGTGTAACTTTTTTGCTGCAAGGCAATATTTAGGCCACTAATAAAGGATACTCCACAAATTCAATAGCCGTCTTCGCAATCATCGCCTCCCCTTTGGTCTCCACAAATGATGAGATGGCGTAACTTTTGTTTTTCTCTGAGCACAAAGGAAAAGAGGAGGAGAATGATACCTCAGGGTCATGACATGGAATGCAACTTGTGTGAGTTTTAAAGATCACGTTGTTACTTTTGGCGTTCTCAAAAGAGATGAATTTGTTGGGCTGGATGTAGTTCACTATGGATGACATGGCCTCATACGCTGTTACTTCTTGTCCAGCTGTGCCCTGTGAGTGATTGGCAGGAAGTTAGCAGATCTTTAGACTCTTTTTGCTGCAAAACAAATAAAGTAGTCATCATTTACCTCATCTGATGTCTTCATTTTCTCCTCATCCTGTTCTTCTGTATCGTCTTGCTCCTCTGCATCCTCCACAGCTGCTTCTACTTCAGCTTAAACATAAAAATAACAACTTCAGATAACTTATAAAGACAAAAATTAAAACTGACAATTGTTCTTATACAGAACCTGATTTTCTGGACTGAATTTGTCGTACCTACCTTGGTTCTCCTGAGGGCTAGCTGCTGGGTTGCTCTCGTCCTGGGGAGGGATGTTTGGGTCCTGAGGGGTTCCAGCTGCTGCGTTCTGATCGGTCACTGCAGTGCTGGTTTTCTTGGTCTGGGCTGGCTTTTCATGACCCTTTTTGTTTTTTATGAGGATCTTGCCCATAAGCTCAGAGGGGCTGGGGATCTGCTGGCCCGGCTTCAGCTAGAAAAGATCAAATGAACTTTGTGTAAATTTGAAGGAAGCAGCTTATTTGCCACTGAAACCAGCTGGTGCTTGTTCCGTCCACCCTCTCCTCAAATGTCTGGACGACATTAAGACATGGATGGCTTCAAATTTTCTAAGTTTTAACGACCAGAAGACTGAAGTCATTGTCTTTAGCCCTGGCTCAGCTGCCGCCTCTTATCCTGTGAACCTGGACTCCCTTCAGTCTTATCTGAAGCACTCTGTTAAAAATCTTGGAGTGGTTTTTGACTCGGATTTTAAGTTCGACAAACAGATCAGTTCAGTTCTGCAGAGAAGCTTCTTCCAACTGCGGCAGGTAGCTAAGCTCAAGCCAGTGCTGTCTAGACCCGACCTTGAGACACTAGTCCATGCATTCATCACAACCCGCCTGGACTATTGTAATTCACTGTATGCTGGGGTCAGCCAGACCTCTATCTCACGACTACAGCTCGTCCAGAATGCTGCAGCTCGGCTCTTAACCGGTACACCGAGGTATGAGCACATCACACCAGTTCTGTCCTCCCTACACTGGCTTCCTGTGAGAACTAGGATTGATTTCAAAATTCTCCTCCTGACCTATAAGTGCCTAAATGGCCTCGCACCCATCTACCTCTCTGAGCTACTGGAACCATATGTTCCCTCTCGGGCTCTGAGATCATCCGATCAGCTGCTTTTGGTTGTTCCAAAAACACGACTGAAGCTCCGAGGAGATCGGGCGTTTTCAGTCATGGGTCCCAAACTGTGGAACAACCTACTCCCCAACATTAGGCAGGCCACCTCCCTTCCTGTGTTCAAATCCCTGCTAAAAACATATCTGTTCTCTCTGGCGTTTCATACTGTGTGAGTTGATTTAGTATATCTTGTTCCATGTCTTCATTTTAATGCTGTTGTTTTAATTTTTTAAGGTATATTCTTACTGCTTTTTATTTCTCAGTGTTACCCTTAGTGTTAAGCACTTTGATAACAGTCTATCTGTTTTAAATTGTGCTCTATAAATAAATATGATTTGACTTGACTTGACTTATTTCTGAAGATTAAATCAGCAATGTCAGAATGGGAAACACGTATTTGGACAAGTTTTTTTTTGCATTTATTGCTTTCTTAATAATATAATCAGATTGTCAAACCCATAATATCATTATAATATCAATGCAGCATGATAGCCTAACGTCTAATCTATCAAATATTAACTTTTCTAATAAATTCTTGGTGTAAAAGCCTGAAATAGGTCTATAATTTAAACAAAATGTTATAGGGGTGAACTCACAGGGTATTTCTCCAAAGGTTCTGTTAACAGAGCATCACCAAAGATGGTTTTGCAGTAGTTGGCCATCTTCTCCTGCTGTTTCACCCTGAAACAAACCACATTTTTAATTTAAGTTGAATTCATCATTTCATTTGGGATATTGTTCTTATCACGATGTGTTAAGGCTTGTTAGTAAAGCTAGTTGAAGCAAAGTAAAAGTTCAGATCTTACGAGTCAACGTGGTTCTCAAACGAGAGAATGACGGGGTACTTCGAGGTCTTGAATGCACTTTCTGCAATGGCCTCTATGACATCCTGACAAATATCAGAAAAAAATGGTTTTTTTTTATTTTTAGTCTTTATGGTTACTTTTATTAAAGAAATAAACCTGACACTTGAGAAATGATTGCTATGTGAGAAACCAACAAAGAACCAAAACGCAAAAATTGCACCAAAGCTGAATATTTTGTGTCTAACCACTCTGTAAACATAATGAGACAACTCTGCTTTGAGGACAAAATCGAAGCTGCAGGAAACAGAACGGAGGTGTTGTGTTTGGGCTCGTGGGACCGCGGAGCGGCAGCTGACCTTAAATGGAAGTGTTGAGTGTGAGAGAAGGACACAAGCCTGTTTTTATGAGTTACTCTGCACTTTAAATCTTTGTAGTTTTGTTTTTTGTTCCAAACGTGCATTTCAGCTCAACTTAAAGGTTACTGACTTTACTTCTCAGGACGAATTCTGATTTGACCCTTTATAGAGCGTGAGCAGCTTCTGTGTGTTTTTGTGAGGATTTATTTATTACACAGAATTCAGAGAATATTAGATAACGAGCAGCATGAACATAACATCAGATGGTACCTTGAAAAGGATCTCAGTGGTCATGGTGAAGCCATGGGTGATGATGGGCTCTTCATCTGGAGGTTTCCCCTTCCAGCAGTCCAGCTCCAGACACCGACAGCCAGACAGCAGACACTGACGATACATCTCTGGAGAGGACACGCCTGAGAACTGACCAGCTGCACGGAGGAAAAACAAATCGTGGGGTAATTCATACTTTTAAACTCCAAACTGCTGCTCTGAAACTTTTCAGGTATTCCAATCCATCATTAGATCAATGTTGTCCTGAAGTGACCCAGAAGCCCAACGAGTTTTAGCTGTAGGACAGAGTGGAGTGTGTGACCTGTTAGGTACGTGTTGTGAGAGGACTTGATGAAGTAGTGGGGAATGGGTTGGGTCATGTCCTGACACTTGGCAAGCTTGTCCTGCATGACAACACACGTCTCCGGACCCATCAGGAAGAATAAAAGGCCTTCTGGAGAAATCAGACCTGCAGTAAAAAACACCATAAAGCACTTAAACCAAAAATACATAAAGCTTTGAGTCAATCCACCTGGTTCTTACCTCTGTTGGCATTATTAGAGGTGGGTTCATATTTGTCGATCAGAGCCTTGATTTGGTCTTGACGAAGACGGGGAAACAGCTCCTCGTTGAGTCGGGAGTCCCTCTGTTTCTCGTTGAGGAACTTGGTGAAGTTATCCTTCGTCATGGTGGGTTTGGTAGAGCTGGAGCGCACGGTAAGGCAGGAGAATCACATCAGCTATAGATTAAATGGAGCTGAACTCCTGTACATGTGATGGGTGTGCACAAAACAGGCTTCACATCTGGAAAAACTGCGTTTTCAGCACAAAGCCGTCTGAACGCTGAGTGTTGAACGACTGCTGAACTTTGATGAAGTAGGTGAAACTCAGCTGAAGAACTACTTAAAACACTACATAAAAGAGAAGCAAAATTGCACAAAGCTAAAAAAAAAGTACCAAAAAGATAGCTAAAAGCCATAAGTAGCTAAATGCTAGCTAAAAGCTTTGTCACAAACTAAAAGAAGCAGAAGCAAATAGCTGAAAGTTGAAAATGGCTAGCTAAAAGCTAAAAGTACCATAAAAGGCTAACTAGAAGCTATAAAGCAGTAAAACAGTAATTAGAAACTAAAACTAGCAAAAGGATACATACAAGTTAAAGGCAGCAAAGCAATAGCTAAAAGCTAAACATAGCAATAGGCTAGCTAAGAACTAAAAGTATCAAAAAGCTTACTCGAAACAAAAAGCAGTAGAAGATTAGCTAAAAAAAGAAAAAGGCAGACTAAGAGCTAAAAGTCATTAAAAAAATTGTGTAGTAATGCAATAATTAAAAACTAAACATAGCAAAAGGCTAGCTAATAGCTGAAAGTATCAAAAGGTCAGCTATAAGCTAAAACTGTTGTAAAAGCTAAAAGTAGTATGAGACACAAACAGAGCATTTATGATGAATTAGCTTTCAAAGAAAACAATGTTTCTGAAGGAATTGGGGAAAATTATATATTTCGATGGGGAAAATATTTATAAACAAATAAAAAAGTATAGAAGTAAACAATATTGTAAGTGCAGAATCAGCTTTCAAACATTAACAAGTTTTCAGAAACTTTCGATTATCTCTGCAGATTACTGGTTGAGTTGGAAAGTCGACTTACTAAGTAGTAAAAATCTCGTAGATCTCCGGCCGAGGACAGAGATTTATCAGGAAGGTCCTGAAGGCGGCCTCAGTGAACACATCAGGCTTCATACTCTCGTACTGAAACATAAGAGCTTGTTATTCTTGTCAAAGCTGGACTTTTTTCTGTAAAATCAAAGTTAACTGTTTAGTCTGATGGCCTTATGTAAAAACTATAAGAAACAGAAATATTAAAGGAGAAGCTCATAGGAATAAAGTTAGGTTAGGTTGCACTGCTGACCTTTCCTTTGGGGAGGTGAGCTGCTGCTAAGGCACTTTCCACTCTCTTCTTGTCAGAAGGAAACATCTTGTAAATGCTGAAAAGGCACAAGCTGTTCACCTAGACCCAAATGTGGAAATATTGTTCAAACTAATCACTGCTGGGTAACCTACTTCTTTACTGGAATTTTGCCATCCTTGTTGGTCTGAAGAGAAATGCGGGCGTATCTGAGGTTGAAAGTATTTTCATTAGAAGAAACAATGCATTTGATTTACTTCAATTTTATTATCTTCTATCTAAAATGTCTCCAACATTCACTTACATTTTCTCCAGGAAAACTTGTCTGCACGAATTGTTTCTTGCAGCATTGTATGCAATTGTGAGAATGTCATCTGCCCAGTTCTTTGCAAAGAAACAAGAAAGTTGTGTTAGTTGCATTTGAAGTCAACAGGAGCTGAAAGTCTGTTAGCATTGAGAAGATTTTAAATTTTCACTGTCACCACTAGAGGGTTTAAACATAGAAATATTTCAGGAAATGGTAGCAGTAAATGGTGCTTTTGAACAGCTGTAATTTTATTATGGCTGATTAAATTTGGAAGCTGGAGCCATAAAGTCTAATAAAACTAAAAGGGAGGCAGAGGACGCCTTATTGGGCTTTATTGGAGTGGGAGCAAATTAATGTATCATGTCTGACGGCCTGTGATTGTGTTTGAACAAACAGTGACATGTAAACAGTTAAATAAAATGAACAGCAACGCAGAGGTTCAAGCTGACGCAGTGAGTGAGAGGTGTTTTATTATTACCTGAGTCACCTTCTCTTTTGAGGCGAAGAAGTTATAATAGGTCAGATTAACCGTGTCTAGACCGGAGACAATGGTCAGCGTTTTGGCAAGATGGTTGCTGTCTGGGAAATCCAGGTTAAACACGTTGCGAACTTTTGGATTCTGCAAATGAAAACCATAGTGCAATAAAACATCTTGCAGTAAATTTATTTGGTTCGTTTTTGGGAGCTTGCAGGGCATGTTTTCTGCAGAAACTGAAAATCTAAAAGTTTCACTTATTCAGGCAAATATGGTGACCGAGACATGCAAACATATGCATAAACACTGAGATTCACACGCACATGTTAAAAAAAAATGAGAGAAAGAAATATACTTTAGATACAGTCTTTCTCTCTACAATTTGTCACTTCCACTTTTCTCTCAGTGATGCAGCGCTGACGTCAGCAGTGAAAATGCTTTCCCCAAAAGCTCCTCGGGGGCCACGGAGGAAGATGTAATTCTATCAGCTCTCATGGAGCACATTTCCCCTCCAGAAGGCGTGACGATGGCTGCATGCTGCAGCTCTCTGCAGAGCCCAATGGAGACTGGACATGAACTGAATCTACAGCTTTTGGCTCAAAGGAAAGAAAAAACATCAATCCCCGATGTCAAATCAGTCATCAGTCTGTGGGATGGTGCGTCTTAATGGTTCTTTTTGTGCCTGTACATCCGTGCGTTTCAGCAGTTGAGGATGAGGAGAAGCCCTGGTGCGTTTGTCCACTGCAGCTTTTTGCAATGCAAATATGCTTCTCAAATTGATGGACCGACCAAGGGCTTGACGCCATATTTGCATGCATGCAGAGATTCTTACACAATGAGCAAAATGGATTTGACTAAACTGAATGCAGAGAGTGCAGATTACTATAATAAATAATAATGCAATACTCACTTTGGGAAGTTTTGCATACTTTCCAGTTCTGGTATCTCGGATGGTAGCAACATCCACGAAAGTTGTCTCCTGGAAACAAAAGGCAGAGTCACATCCAGCTCTAAACTCCACTTAGCCAAGAGTTACATACAAAGTGCAAAAACGATGAGATTCGCTTTGTTTGAGCAAAAGACATTTTTCTGTCTAACAGAGACTTGGCTCAGCAGAGTAGACATTTACTGGTTTTCTGATGCGATGAAAACTCAAAGAGGCTTTGATGGAGGAATGAAGCACTAAATGACAGCACACTGAACAGCATCAGCACCGCTGCCAAGGCAGAAAGGTTGAAGAAGCTGTGAGTTATCCCACAGCTTTCACAGATCCAAATCACAATGTCAATTGGGACACAATTACCTCTGTCCGATATGCTTTTAGACATCTAACACGATCCAAATCATCTGCTTGGCAGTAAAACCATTTCTGTTATGTATTTTTTTTTTTAAATAACTGCAGATTTTCTGGGCAATGTCATGCAACATATTAAAAAGCTTACGAGTATATGATGTAATCCAGCGAAATGACTTTAAATCTACACTCGTTAAAAAATATTTTTACTGAATTCAAAGGCTTTTCACTGTATCACCAAGTAATTGGTTTTGTCAGGACACCAGATTTAGATTAAGGCCCTATTTATGTGAATAAATGTGAGCTAAGCAGTGAAATCTGTTCTTTCCACTTAAAATGGCTTACCTTGCTTTGGTTGGTCCAGTAGACATAAAATCCTTTCGAATCCATCTTCATGGTGACAGGAACAGTTTTTGTTGAGTCCTTAAAGAAGACAACACTGACTTTCTTGCACTTAATTATTTTCCTTATTGATTTCAAACAATCTGTTAATTGGATTCAAGGAGTTAAAGGTGAACCGTCAAGAGGTTAAGCTATGAAGCGTTGAAGAACTGAAAAAAGGACTTGATTTTTATTGTAAAATATGACAAAACAAAACATTGACAGTCTACTTTGCTGCTAAAACCAATTTATTTAAATTCTCACTCACCTCCGACCACTTGGTGAACCTGTCTCCTTTGACCAGATAGTTTTTGACCTCTGGAGGTTCAAGAAAGTATCTTTTCTTATTCATTTTGTCCTTCTAACGTAAGTTTTGGTTGAGTAATACTATAGCTGAAATAAAGCCACTTTGGGGAAATCTGCCATGGTTATATCTACAAACTACCCTATTCTTCCATTTGCATCCAAAAGATGCGTTAAACTGGAGCTTGTTGCATCTGACTGTAGTCAGGACGCACCCCAGCTATATGCATTGCAAATGAAGCTAGGAAAAAAAAAATGCATCAGCACCCGTGGATTCTGTCGTCCATTGTGAGAATGGTTTTCTTAAAAAGTGAACAAAAAGTAAACAGCTTCATGTGTGGGTTATATTTCTGATGTTGCAACATGAATATTGAGGTGAAATTATATTTAAAAAAAAGGTGTATGTGTTTAATTAATATTAAAGTACAAACTCCACCAAAAAACTTCACTTCCAAAACAACTTGTGATCAGAGTTATTTCTACAGTCATTTGATGTGATTTTTATATTAAACAAAATAATATTGTACAGCATAGTACACAATATACTTATTTACACTATACATTATAGTAAGAAATACTTTAGTGTTTTTTTAATATTTTTAGACTCTTAAATTGTGTAAATATTTTTTTTCTCTTCACTCTCTGCATTTTATTTGAAGTATTACTATTTTACCAAAATTGTGCCACAACAACCATCAGTTTAGGATCATTCAGTCCCGAAGTTCTGGAGGAGGCTGACTGCTGTTTCGGCAACAGCTCGCCGGTCATTTGGATAACATTCAAATAAACCTTCTGGTTGTGTAGCTAATGCAAACAATCAGTCAGGGAGCACACAGGGGACAAGGGAGCCACTGTGGGGTCCAAGACTAATGTGTCAAGATGTCCCAATGAGACAGTCAGGAGCACTGCTTGTCACCCCTGCTGAAACTTGAATAAGAAACTCAACTCATTAAAATATTTTATTTACTTGCAGCTGTTTAATGATTTGACTTTTAATAACTTTTTAATTCACACTTTATTAAAACCCTAACTTTCCTTGAAGGCATGCATATCGCCTTCTGCCTTCCCAAGTCATCGCATGTCGGGGAATAATGAAGTTATAGCTGTTTTGGTGCAACTTTTAAAACTACTTTATCACATAATATTGCGAGAACGCATCACCCTCAGCTACAGCTCAATGTCTTAAACTTGCTGAGCTTAAATTAGTTTGACTCCAGATGTGCACCATTAGTTTCATGGGATATTTTGCTAACAGACAGGCGGGCAAAAAACAGTATTGTTCGCCTTCACCTTCAGCGGCGGGTGATACACTTTAAGCTTCCTCGTGCTCATGAGCAAAGGTGAGGTCGAAAACTCATCCAGATGTGTGTGCGCCACACGTCTCTGCTGCTGTTACATAATTTCAACAGAAATGAATCTCTGTTGCGTCTGCGCGCGCATCATCCAGTCCGCTTGGGTGCGCGCGTCGCTCCGACAAGCTCCCTCCCCTCCGCATCGCGCAGCATCCTGATGTGAAGGTGATGTTTTTCGTGTACTTCTTCGTTCCGCCTCGTCTCCTCAGCCCCGCTGCCTCTTTAAGAGCCACCGCCCGCCCCCCTCCCGTATTTTTAGCTGAGCCAGCGACTTCATTCGCTGGATAAGACGCGCATCTGTGCGCCGTAAGACCCCTTCTAATAGATGACATCAAACCCTGTGGAGACGCAGCGGGCCTACAGCCAGATGTTCCCCGGAAATCTCAGCAGATAAGGTGGATTTATTGCCTGTTTTGGTCTCGGGTGCTGCAGAAGCGCGCGGCAGCCTCTGTGGATGCGGTTATGAAACGCAGCTGCGCCGGGGAGCCCCAAATGAAGCGCGGCGGCTCCGACATGAACTGAGGCGGGACACAAAGCACCTCCGAGCTCTTCAGACCTCCAGACCTGCCTCCATCCGCTTCCTGCTTTTCTCTCGGACCGAGGAGAACCGACCTTTCAAGACGGAGGGGGTCGTGGAGCACCGCGGCAAAAACAGGGGCAACATGCGCGAGCGGGACTTCATGCCCAACATGGAGAGAGGCAAACCTGCCACCTACACGGGGGACAAAAAGGCCAAAATGGCTGCTAAGACGAACAAGAAGTGGGTGAGACTCGCCACTGTGTTTGCCTATGTGCTGTCGGTGTCCTTAGCAGCCATTATCCTGGCTGTTTACTACAGCCTGATCTGGAAACCCACCGGCGCATCTTCCAATTCAGCTGGGAAGCCCGTGGGGCCCGAAGGGGTCCCCCCCACCGCGAACAGCTCCACAGTCCCCTCCAACAGCTCAGTGTCAGAGTTGAACTCCACACAGAGCAGGATGCTGTCCGTGAAGGGCTGGCTGAGCTCAACCCCGCACAATCTGGCGTTTCAGTGGGACCAAGGGGTGGAGGGGGTCTCTGCGCGCGGTGCGGGCACGGAAGGTGCGCAGGAGGAAGGACTACACGCGCCTTCGTACGGTCACACGGAGAGATCGGACACGTCTCCAAGCACCACGGAGTCTCCTGTTATCCAGGAGGACGAGGAGGAGGAGGAGGAGGCTGCATCCTAAAGCCTGATCTGACCAGAGAGGAGGCTGATCCCCTGATCCTCTGACTTTAAGACTTACCCCCCCATCCCAAAATGGAGTGTTTTACATTCTCAGTACCGCAGGTCGGATAACACAAAGGTCTCTGCTTAAAAATAATAATAATTTGGGAAAAAAAAACTCCATTTGCAGAGTCCACAGGATGCTGGGGTGCACATTTTATGACCGAGGAAAGAGGAGCTATTTTCTTCAGAGATCACTGTTTTTCCTTCTCGTTTTATTTAGAACATCTGCCTTAAAATCAGTTTGTGTCTACTTTGCCTCGGACACCTTTGATAGCCTGCCTGCACATCTGGATAAAACTGGGTGAAGTCACGGGAGTTAGGGCCAAAAATAAAGGTTGCGCAAGACCTAAATATGTCTCACACATATTACGCCACTGCCATTTATTAGCCGGTTCAGATTCACACTGCTTTATTTTAACATAACGGATCAAACTCCCATTAGGGGAACCTGCATTATTAATTTATGCTCAGGTACAGTATGTGCATATAACCATGTAAATGTTACGTGTATTTGGTTATGTACATATAAGACAGGCATACATATTTTCGCCTTGATTAACTTTTAGTGGAATTAGGTGATTTTTATTCATGTATAACAGATATAACTATATCACAACAAACAAATAAACATCCTTAGAAAATAATCTTTATTTCTATGGTTTTATATATGGACATCTCTATCATCTTTGAGAGCATTCTGTTTTATTTAAAGCCATAACATAAATCTAAATAAATGATCCCTTTGTTTTAAACGTGAGATTTGATGGTGACTCAGTTCAGAGTGTTACGACGAGCGCCGACTGCTGTGAAGGTGTAGAAAGAGAGATCTCTGTTTCTGTTGGTTTAATCAGATTTCAGGAGGACCTTTGAAACTGTTGAACTAATTGAGTTCGTTAGTCTGAGGTGACTGCGCCGCAGCTCACGCTTACATTTTATACAAGCGCTTGTGAAGCGAGGAGATCAGAGCAGCCTTCCTGTTTGTTCTGTCAGCATCATGTGAGGGAGGCGCATTGATTTCAGCTCTCTGTTGTTACTGTACGAAACAGAGGAGCACATTACACAATGCTGCTATTTTCATTCAGTTCCCTCTCTCTAAAAAAAAAATGGGTTGCTTGGCTGAAAAGGTTTGTTTTATATGCTGCCAGTGAAAACCATCATTCACTCGTAAAAAATTAAATCGTTTGATTTCCGGCTGAGCAGCCGCCACCTGACTTTGATGTGACAGTGATGACATGTTGCTGTGTCAGTGTCCTAACAGGATGTTCATTCATCAGAGAAAGCAGACCACGTAACACAGCAGATACATTGCCACTGCTTTTTTTTTTTTAATATATGCTGACCTGTTGATGGAGGAGTTCATCTGTGCGGTTATTGCTGGAAGCTATAGCTCAGTCAGAACACAGCCAGTTCACCCAGGTCATTTTATTATCTGACATGAAATCAGTTCCAAAACGTGAGACTTGTTTTGTGACACACAATGGATCCCTCTTGAACATCGCATTACCTTGTGGTTGTACAACCTCAATTCCAAAAAAAGTTGGGACATTTTGTATAATGTAAATAAAAGTAGAAGGCGTTGATTTGCAAAGCTCGGGACAACAAAAACCAAAGGGATCATTAGAGCTGAGGGATCTAGAGGGCGCACAAGGCTGAGCCCTGAGGAACTCCACGCGAGGAGGAAACAGATCCTCCAAGTCTTACAGAGAAGCTCCTGTCAGACAGGTGAGACCTGAACCAGGCTAGTGCCATGCCACACTGCTCCAGCCAGGAGCTCAGGACACTGCGGTCAGCTGTATCAACGGCAGCTGTCAAGTCCAAAAGCAAAAAAGCAGCTGAGCTTCACTCCTCATCTTAAAACGTTGGAGCAGAGCTGTTTTTCAGTGTGAGCATCTCCTAACAGGCTGTAAACGTTTACGATCTAAGCAGACCAGCTGCTGGAGATTTTGGAGGGGGGGATGTTGTCCCATTTTTTGGTTTGATGTAGGATTTTCAACAGTCCTGGGTCTTCTCTGTTGACTTTTTGGTTTCATGATGCACTAAATGTTTTAAATTAAGGAGAGCTCTGGACTGTAAGCAGTTCAGCACTTGGACTCTTCTAAAAACCAATAGATGCGGTACGCAGTTTAAAATTGTTCTGCTGAAATACGCAAAGCCTTCCTTGAAGAAGATGTCTGGATGGGAACACATTTTGTTCTAAAACATGCACATAATGTTCTGCGTTCATGGTGCCATGGTTCCAGATGTGTGAGCTGCTACCATCAGGGAAGCAGGGTTCTGAACTGAGCTCAGAGAACAGGCCAGATGTTTCGCCAAAGGTTTTGCACTTTGATTTGTTTGACTGCAGAAACATTTTCCATTTGGACTCATTTAAATTTGGAACAAAGAAGACGGTATTTCTGAATAGTGTTCACATGTGGCATCTTCTTTGCATGATAGAGCTTTAACCAGCATTTGGATGGCACGGCAAAGATTAAAATGGCTGCTATTTTAAAAGCCAATCTGTGTCACTAATATTAATGAAAGTCAAACGCTCCCCATCTTTTAGTTATTTCACCAATGAATTCAGGACACATTGTCAGTGTATTTGAGCTGGAGGAATCCAATGTTGTGACATCACCGTCCCTCCTGCTTGTTTTCCACAGATAAGATCATCAGAGACATTTGAGAACCTATAATAGACATGAAGGTGGAGGTCTTTGTATGATGGTTTACAGGCTGAAGCTGATTCCATCAATTATTGCATCTAAAATGTCTGCACGATTCTAGAATTGCACACAAAAACAAAATTTTTGACGGTAAAACCGTAATCTGACTTCAGATTAGTGCAGCTGGCAGCACAGGGACACTGCGAGTCTAAACTTTGGATTTCTAGGTTGAGAGGAAGAAAAGAAGGAAGAGAGGAGGTGAAGAGAGCACACTCCTCCTGAGCAGGGCATCTGCAGAGGCGTGGTCGTTACTTATCTTGAGCCGTGACAAGGTTCGGGAAGGATGACGCACACGCTAACCTGTCGGGTTCTGTCAGGGTCACGGGGCCAAAACCAGCCAAGAACTCGCTCCCATTTAGTTTTTATCCATCAGCTGTAATGACAGCCTTTATTACCTCACGCTGCTCAAGCTGTGGCTGGTAAGAAAAAAGAAAAACTGTTACAGACCCAATCAGGAAGAAAAATTTACTTCTTTGTTTTTAGCTTAAAGCCAAACTTTAATATTTTAGAGGAAAACAAACAATTCTTTGCCGCCTGCTGAAGCTCAGATAAATAGGATTACATCATATCTGCCAAGCAAATATAAAGCTGGAGCCGGCCGACGGCTTTGTTTGAAATAAAAATGCTCCGTTTGCTGAACTTCTATAAAAGGATTTGGGTTTATGGAGAACTTATGTGAGGCTCTCGTTAGCAGACTTCTCTGGAAGCTTGAAAAAACATGATAAAATGGTATAAAATAACAGACCTCAACACTGGCTTGCTTTGAAGCTACTTTTAACTAAACACAGAGCACCTGCTTCATCATAAAATCAAGCTTCTCTTGACTGCAGCTGACATAATCCTACACTGCACTTCAATCCTCTTAAACCACCTCCACCAACACCCCCACTGCAGTGCTGTAATGTGGTCAACTCTAAAAATCATTAGCTAGCTTTGCACTAAAGTGAGCAAAGAGGCATGAGAAACCTAAGCGTTGTTTGGTTTGCGAGAATAAAATCCATACGGTTTGTGGAACAATTCAAACCGTTCAGTGCATTTCGGAGAAAAGCAAGGCCTCTGTACATTGTGTGCAGCAAACACCTGGCAGGCCCAGAAGGCTGCGGTGGAGGTCACCTTGGGAGAAGGTAATTAAAAACAGCGGCACCTGTGGGATGTCCCACCTGCTCCGAATTCAACAGCCCTGCAGAGTTCAGCTCAAATGAATCAACACGATGAAAAACTCCACGAACGGCATTTCCTGACATATTAAACGCTCCGTTCATAAACGCATGCGAAGTGAGGACACGTGATGAGAAGGTGCAACAAATTAGGGTCAGCCATCAGAATTTGAAGTACAGAAAAATATTTTTATTGTTTTCCTTCGGTTTGAACAGCAAAACGCTGCAATAACAGCTCAGACACTCATACAGTGGTAGAGGTGCAAACACTGGATGGAAGCAGACAATCACCTACGTGTTCCAAGGATGTAACACCGAGCTACGCTATGACTGCATGCTCTACGTTTTATTTCACAACACCGAATCCCACAGGGAGTTTCAAAGGCATCAGAGGTCACCTGTTTTTAAAACAGATACCAGAAATGTAGCTTCTACTTCCAGAAAATAAGGTTCACGTTCTTTTACGTCTTGTTTTTGCTTCCTGGCGGTTTGTATTTTACGTAACCTCAGCTGAAGCCGACACAAAGCTCTCCACTCATTGTTACATAACCGTTTACTACACCGCGGCTCTGATGAAAGCCACAAGGGTTTGTTTTTTTAAGGCTTCTTATCACATGAGAGCAAAAATAAAAACAGCAGACTGGCAATAAATAAAAACACATGTAACATTCTGATGTCAAATAAATACAATAAGTGATGCTGCGCCGTCAGCGCAGTACACGTAACAGATCTGATACAAACCATGACATTAAAGATCACCTTCCGTGTTTGAAGAGGTGATTAGCAAGGCACACGAGCTGCGGGTGTTTTAATTTAAAATAAACCACGACGTGTATATTTGGTGGTTATAGTACAGAACAAACAAACAAAAGAAAGAGAACTCCAACTGGTTCCCAGTGTTTCGACTGTGATCTCACTAATTTCTACAGGAACCTCATCAAGCAATTAAAATATGTTTTAATCACAAAAAATGTTTGTGATTTGAAACGGCAACTTTTGATGAGACTGAGTTTTATTGCGGTACTTTAATGAGCACATGGGTAAGAAATTAATAAAACTTTGCTCTCCAGTGAACCTGTTAATGTAGCCTTTACCTCAGCAGTTTTATGTCTTTAAACTGGTTGTTTAACTTAGAATAAAACAGAAAGTCCAACACGTTCTGCATCAACTTGTTCAAAAACAGTCTCCACCTGGTCATAACTATATACACTTACATATAAGTTGCCTTCAATGAACCTTGAGTAGAAAATTTTTACTTTGACTTCACGTTTTTTTATGCAAAGTAAGAAAATAAAAACACAAGGCTACCTCCAGGTTAGCTTGTTTTTTGCATTAAAACATATTTTTCGTCTGCTCATTTTACTCAAAAAAATAAATGAGCTAAAATGCACTTCAGGCAATGTTTCTAACTTTCATCAAATAAAGAATGAAAATTGTAAGCTGCCATATTCAGAAAGTTGGAGTTGAGAAACTTCTTTCTTTCATTTCCTTTAGAATAGATATTTAATCTAATTCATTAACCCCTCATCCGAGTCACAATTATACAGCTCTTTGAGTAAATTTAGCTTATTATGCTTTTGTTTTTCTGGGTAATAGAAACATTTATGTCAGTAGTAATGTTTGGAAACTAGAAACAGTCATTTTCTTGCACAAACCTAAACAGTGCAGGAATATTCTGTTTTGTCACTATATTTCTGTGTATAAATGCTGAGTCTGCAAATAAATATTACAGAATTTATTCACCATACATCTAAGGCAGAATCAGGCACTGGATAAACTGACTTTTGCTTATTCTCAAGGGCTAAACTCATTAGCTAGCCTCCTGATATGTACCTTAAAATCTTCATACAAATGTAAACACTCAACCTTATTGCACTCGAGCAGTGTGCCAACATCCTACAGAATGTCAGTACACCGTCCTGTTTACTTATAAAGTGCTTAGATGTGAAATAGTTTGAGCTGGGAGGATATATTCAATAACACTCTTTCTTTCTGTGAAGTTTCAGATCCAATAAGGAGGGATGCACTGCAGCAAAATTAAATTATGTTTAAAAGAGTCCAAATGCAGTGATTTTACAATCCAAAAGTGTCAGACAATCTTCCCATGCTCTCTTGCCTGCAAAAAGAGAAAGAGCATACAAAAAAATTAATGGTTACATTTGTATTTTTATCACAATTTATGTAACTAAGGCCCACCATTTCTTTATATGAATGATTCAAGTGGGCGGTTATTGTGTGTCCTGGTGGATGATGAGATGAAGAGGTGTTACTGTATCTGCACTTCATCAGACCTCAGAGGTGCCGACTATACTGACATCAAAGCTGCAGTGGAGATATTTTTCTAATTGTTCCTCATCCATCCATTTATATGTCTATTAATTCCCTCCCCCCAACTCGTCTCCGTGTTTCCGACACTGACCTTGTCATTGCTGGTGGAGAGTGTTTGGTGCGTTTCTCTGGACTCCATCCTGAGAACAGACAGGCTGGAGTCAATCAGTTCTTCTGTGGAAGAAGAGAAAAACAAGTTCCCTCACTGTAAGTAACACTGAAGGCCTAGCATCCCGCTACCTTTCATGCAAGCGTTTTGGAGTAAGATCATCTTACGTTGAGAAATGAGAGGTTCATTTGTTCTGGTGAAACGTTGAAAATAAACAAAACAGTCTGGTCCAATATCCTGTAAGATCTCCCATGATCTGTTAGCACTCAGAGTGTGTGTTGTGAATGACTCTCAGCTACCTCCACACCAAATTTAACTTCAATATCTGTAAAACTAAATATATGGTCATTTTTGTGTTGGCTGATGTTAATTAGCTGTGGTGACCATGTTGAATCAGGTTGGCTTCAAAAGCTGTACATGTGCAGCCAAATATTAAGCTTGGAAAATTTTCTTAAGTGTCTCACGAGATGTTTTGCTAACAGTTCATATAAATGGACACACTCCCAGACATGGACAAACACAGTACTGCTCGTCCTCAGCGGTGGGTAATAATTATCATGAGCTGTGCTGTACCTGTGTTTGTACTGTTGCTGCTGCCTTTGGACACAGGCTGCAAAGAGGCACTGGCTTTTTCAGCAGGAGGGGAGCTGGGAACTGTGGGAGGGCTTCTTTCTTTTTCATTGTGTTCGGTTTCAGACGCCTGCTGCTGGGCAACAGGAAGAGCAGGACGACTTCCTCCTTTGCCCTGAGATTCATCCTGCTTTGTAGCAGGAAGCTGTGGCCTCTCTACTTCACGCTTGTTTTTTTTTGGTGAGGAAACTTTCAAAGAGCCTTTGGATTCTGCACCAGCAGACTCTTGAGAAGTTTGCTCAGCTGGAGCATTCTGGACGAGTTCCTCTGAGAAACGTACTTTCTTCTCCGACCCTCGAGGCGACGAGGCCTGTGCTTTCTTCTGAGGGACGATGACTTCTTTGAGGTCCCTCACCTCTTCAGGTGCACACAAAGAATCCAGCTTTGCTATAGACTCCTGATCTTTAAGATCTTCTTTGTTAGAATCTGTCAGGGCATCGAGTTCCTCAAGAAACTCTTCTAGTGTTGTATCAGAAGCCTGTGAGATGAGATCAGAAAACAATAGCTATTATTTATCATTCAACGTCAGTTTTTAATCTGCGCAGGTAATATTTATTCATACACAAGTTTCACCTCTCACCTGTCGGTTCTCTCCATCATCATCTGACTGCCATCTAAAAAAAATTACATTAAAACTTAATCAGTAATAAAATTCTGGGAATTTTCAAAGTTAGAAACTTTCCATGGGAACTAACGGGAAATTAAGGGATTAGACCTGTAAGTTAAAATATTGACGTTATGCTATTTTATATATAGTTATTTATAGTTCGAGAAAATATATTTTAGCACAATCTTGACTGAAACAACCAGATTTAATTACTGGACCATAAAATGAGTGACACCGCACCCTAAAAAAGTCCAAACTATGTCACGTTACATGTAAACGGTAACAAAAAAGTTTTGTTCAGAGTTGTAAATAGTTTTGTTGTGAAATAACCATTTACTGAAACTTGCTTTGTTTTTTATGTAGATAAAATTACAAAAAAAAAAAGCCAAGACAACAATCAAATAAGATGTAAACAGTTTTGTTAAGAGGTGTCTGTATAAATTTGACAGTTTCTTTATATAAATTCAGACATTTTAATAATTTTGTAGTTGTATGCACATACTATTTGTTTGTTTTTAAGTGAATACAATGGCAAAAAACATATAACAAGAATATTTTTGGTCAGAGCTGTGTTCATTATTTTATAAAAGGATTACAGCATCAAAAGAGAACTGTGGAAATATATAAACTGTATTGTTCTGTAAAAATTGCGTAACAATGCAGTGATGTCATCATATGCAAATTAGGTCTTTACTTTTATTTACTTTTATAAGTTTTGGGTCAAACTCATCATTTGCCAATGACAAAATGAAATGTTTTGGTTTTGTTTGCATGACATGACATAGTTTGTTCAAATTATTCCCATTTTCCAGTTGATTTCCATCATTTCCATGAACAGTTTCCAGTATGAAATATTTCCTAAAATCCCCTGCTTAACCTCCCATGAAAACATTTGGAAAGTTTTTGAAAATTTAACATAATTTTTTACCCCTTTCCACTACTTAATTCAGATGTCTGAGTTGTAGTAGGTCATTAGTGTTATTAATATTTATAGTTTGTAGATAAATGTTCACAAATGACTCCAGAGTTTGAACACCGAGCTTCATTACTCTGAGAAATTCAAGTTTGTAGTTCAATTTTATATTTGTACTGAAGACATTTTGAGTGAATACTAAATATTTTTATTTGCTAAAAATCACAGACAACAAAAACAATAAAAATATCTGAAGTTAAAAGTGAGAATTCTGATCCTGCCTTTCTATTCAAAGCAGCTTATACAATAAACAATACACAATAAAGATCTATTTTTATTTCCTTTAAAACAATGTTTTGGACTCTGAAAATAAAGTTGTAGATTTTCAGTCCAGAAAACCGAATATCAAAATATGTTGAGCTAAAGTACTTTTTGATTTCAGAGTCAGAGTCAGAGTTTATTTATTGTCATTCGCACCTCATGTGGTACATGTGGTGGAGCGAAATTATGTACACAAGGTCCCAGTTACATCCAACAATAAAATGTATAAGAAAAACAGTAATAACATCTAAGATATGAACTAAGAAAAACATCAACTAAATATACACTAAGCACTCATAACATAAAAACATTGAACATCAGCACAAACATGAACATGAGTCTGTGAGCAGATGTGCACGCATAAACACATCAACATTGAAACAGATCAGCAGCAACATGAAACAGATCAGCAGCAACATGATATGGTTTTTCACAGTGATTATTCTAGTTAGAGATTCATGAGTCTAACAGCCTCAGGGTAGAAGCTGTTCCTCAGTCTAGTGGTTCTACACTTAATGCTCCTTAACCTCCTTCCTGAGGGGAGTGGGGCAAAAAGTGTGTGTGCTGGGTGAGTGGGGTCCTTCATGATGCAGGTGGCCCTCTTCCTGCATCTGGAGGTGTAGATGTCTGTGATGGTGGGGAGGCTGATTCCGACAGATTTCTGTGCAGCCTTCACCACTCTCTGCAAAGCTTTTCTTTCTGCAGCTGTGCAGCCTCCATGCCACACATTGATGCTCGAGCACAGGATGCTCTCCACTGCACACCTGTAGAAGGAGGTGAGGACTGAGCTTCCCAGACCAGCTCGCCTCAGCCGTCTGAGGAAGTAGAGTCTCTGATGAGCTTTCTTGATCAGGCTGGTGGTGTTGTTGCTCCAGCTGAGGTTGTCATTCATGTGTACACCCAAGTACTTGTAGCTGGAGACCACTTCCACCGCAGATCCTCTTATGTTCAGGGGGGTGTAGATGTGTTTGTTCCTTCTGAAGTCCACAATCATCTCCTTTGTCTTCTTCACATTGATGTGAAGGTTATTCTCTTTGCACCAGCTCTCCAGGTGTTCCACCTCTTGCCTGTAGCTGGACTCATCATTGTTTGTGATGCATCCCACCACCGCTGTATCATCTGCAAACTTTACAATGTGACAGCCTGGATGGGTAGCTGCACAATCATATGTGAGCAGAGCATACGTGATTTGCTCCCAGACGTACAAATGCTCGCAGCCACGGAAAGTGATAGTGAGACCACTGGGACCAATTTGGACATCCGTTTCCGTCTCGGATAAAAGTGAAGGAGGAGCTGTGATTAGAGGTATCGACTCAAACTCTCCCAGCCACAGCTGCCACAGGTCTAAGCTCCACAAGTAAACCTGTAGCTAAGTGTTAGCAGCACATCTGGACCCCTTAAAGACACACCTCGTTTATTTGACCCCCATGGTGCTTCTGCTCTTGAAGACAGAAATTCATCAGCAACACGAGCAGAACATCTTGCTTCACTTCCAGCTCTGATGTTTTGTGGACTGTTTAAATTATTTTTCACCAGAACCTGGACACAATATTCACTTGACCACACTGGAGAAGCTGACTGCGTCACAACACAGCAAGGCCTTTCACGGTTATTTAATCAGCTGCTGCAACTTCTAAATCAAGCCTCATGACAGGCAGGGAAATTTGTACACAAGGGCCACAGTTCAGGAAAACAGCATGGCCTTCCCACATCCCCGTTTCATTAGTCATGGTTATTTCTCTCATGACAATTAACTGATGCAGCAAGAGACATCCCAACGGGTACAAAAAGCATAAAATGTTGATTATGTTTGGCAGTTACTGACCTCCTGGCCCTCCCAGTCAAACGATCCTTGCCTTTTGCTTTACTGCTCATCACAAGCACATTTTTAGCTGCCTTGTCTTTGCCTCTCTTCCAATGACCTGAAACAAAAAGTTATTTTCATTTTTTTAGGCTTTTTCTTAAGAATTGCACCATTTGATAAATTTTGTATAGCATACCTCTGGAGTCGCCGCCCGCCTTTTGTTGCCCTCTTCTTGCATTTCGACCTCCTAAAACAATATAAAAGCATGTTTGCAAGTAAAAGATCTTCCTCATCATGTTAGGTCAGCATCAGTGTTTTACCTCTGCTTGAAGGCCCCCAGTCTCTGTCAGGAAGGCATTTGTCTGAAAACCTGAAGGAAAGAAAAACAAACAGAAGCAAAAAAAGCGGGTAAGTTTCCAAATTCATTCATCATATCCAGCTCATCTTTAGCCCAAAATCAGACTTCTCTCATATTTCAGTCAGGACATTTTTTAAAAAGCCTACACAATGAAATCTACAGAAACCACTTAGACACACCCATATACTGTATTTCACATCCAGAGACCATCAAACTTGCTGAACAAAACATACATTTTTGCCTGTGTTCTAGATCTGAGCTGTTGTTTAAGCTTTGCCAAATAAGGCAAACTATTCCGTCCCTAATCCCTTTGGCTAAGAATAGCAGGCCCTCCCTTGTTTCTTTACATTTTGAGGCTTCCTAAAACAGCACAATATGTGACCTTTTGTGCTATATCACCTCAGTTAGTTTGAATAAAACAAAACATTTCAGATTGATAGGTTGTATTTTTAATCCCAGACAGTTTGGGGTGCTGTTGTGTGACTTCACCAAGTGATGGGACATTACTGCTTAAAACAAGACTATATGTTGGCAGCAAAACATTTATACGGTGATGAATGGAAGAAAATACTTGACTGATTGTGTCAGAGCTACTTTCATGGCTTTTTTTATATTGTTATAAAAAAGAACATGCAGCTCATCTAATAGATTATTCATCTGAATAATGTAATCAAAAGAATGAAGGCTGTTCTTTGTTTTTCCTCTCAGCTGCACTGAAAGTTACTCTGAACTTCTGCCAAAATATCTAAAAATAGAAGAAAAAAAAACATTAAAATAAACTCCTGATTATGAAGCAAACGCTTGCCAGTGGACTGAATACAAACCAACAAAATTCCCCAAAAAATTGTCTTTAGGGAAGAAAATGTGATTTTTTATTTTTTATTTTAAGTGAGCAGAGCCTCTTCCATGTCTGATAAATATAAATCAGGACAAAGTTAGATTAGCTGAGTATAAAGATGTGAATCTTAAGAAATATGTTGACTAAAGTCAAAATGCCACTTTGAGGCAGTGAGATATTGTCAAACAAGCAAGTTATGGTTAAGATGAATGTCCGTTTGGACTCAAATCTATTAAAACTTCTTCTGATTCTAGTTGTGTGACTTAAGACCTGTTTATTTTTTTATATTTTTCAAGCGACAGTAAACTGTCTTAGCAAATAATTTCATTCGGCTCTGAGGATCTGAGTCTATTAGGACACCCAGATTTTATACTTGCTTTGTATTTTTCCTCAAAACAGACTGAAGCAGATCATATTGCCCCCACCGTCAATCGCCCCACTCTGGGCCCATGAGCAAGGCCCTTAACCCCACCATGTGCTCCCTAAACAGGTCTCTCTTGAAAATGAGTTCTCGTGGCTCAATGAGACTAACCTGGATAAAGAAAGGCTAAATGAAAAAAAAAAAAAAAAAATACTGTATTTGTTATTGTTCGTCCTAAACTTCAAAGATGTGAATTTAAGTTTGTCTTTGCTGAGTTGACTGATAAGCTACGACTTCCAATTGTTTTGTCATCCAAAGAGCATTATCAGCGTTTGTAAGGGAATATGTGTGTTATCCTTGTAATTTAAATTTTGCTGTTTTTTTTTTTTTCATAACTGGGAACAGAAAAGTTCCCAGGATAGGAAGTTATTTAATTCCCGCTCAGACAAGCCTCACCATGATGTTGTTTTTCTTCAAGTTGCTCCCTTCTTCAGGGGTCACCACAGTGAGTGAACTTCACACAAAGGATTTGTATTACGCCGGATACCCTTCCTGATACAACCTGTGCTCAAACCTGCAGCCTCAGGAATATGTGACCGTAGTACTGACCACTGAGCTACAGCAGCACTCTAGACAAGTCTCACCATAAATACTCAGGGTCAGGAAAAATGCAGCATTAATCTCAAATAATCAATTCTTCTTTCTCTAGAAGAAGATTTTTTTTTTTAATTCTGAAAGTAAATCTTAAAGTAAACTTCCAGGAGATAAAAAACAGACCGTCGTTATAGATCTGTGGCTGAAATACAAATCAAGTATTCCAGAGGCGAAAAATATATTAGCTGTACGAACTGTAAAACTGAGAGATATTATATTGACTTCTAAATATTTATATTTAGAAATATATGAGAGAAGAGATTACCAAAATGAAGGAAATATGAAGCTAAGCAACTTGAAATGATGACGACTTTTGTAGGTAAAACAATGAAGAAGCGCCTTTTTCTTTTTACGAACAAAGAGGACTAGTGAAGACAAACTCTGATATGTTGAAATATATTCAACCTTTTCTGAATAGTTTCAAATATTACACAAAGAGAGACAATCAAACACCCAATTAAAAAGTCAGACGAAATTTCTTAAATAATTGGTGATAAAATGTCTTGGGAAGGCCAAACGGTCTTACATGTTCTCAGTTTTGTCCACGTCCCACGCCCGTCTCCACTGACCCGTAGCGTTTTTATGGCGCGCCACCCTCTCCCTGTCGATCTGTTCACGCTCCTTCTTCCACCGCTGATACTCCTCCTGCTCCTCCCGTGATGTTGGGATGTTGAGGTCTGTGCTGGCGTGCAAGATCTCAGACTCCTACTTAGACAAAAAAAAAAAACACTTTGTTGCATTTTCATGCTCTAAAAAATGTGGAGACTTATTCAATACAGACACGCTCCTTTCAGTTTATAAAACATATTAGAAAAACAAGCTGAAGGTCACATTAAGCTCCCTGAGTAAACAAATAAACAAGACAAGAACACAAGCGCGTCTTTTATTTTAATTTAAATGTCAGCCTCCCCATAAATACTCAGGGTCAGTAAAGATTTAATAGAATGTGGTCCTCTATCTCTGGGGCATGACTGCTTTCTATTTCTACAAGTAAATCGTATGCAGACTCTTTAATATGCACAAAAGGGACGCAGGCTGTGCGGTGATGTTAGAAAGCCTCAGAGCAAACCAGGATGAAAACAGCACTCTGCTCTGACAGAAACCCCATAAAACACCAGCAGATTGATAGAAGGAGGCGGAGAACGCTGTTGGGCAAAGGCGGTCTTTTCGGGAACAAGAAAACAAATTAAAATCTACATAATGTCCTCACTTTACCTCAGCTTCATCATTGAAAGCCGTGAATAAAAAGAAAACGTGCTGGTAAGGATGGGTGATATTTTCCAGTCAGGTTTGGACCAATCACAGTGAAGTAAACATGTTGGCCTTTCTGCGTGCAGTTATTTGAGAACAGAGCGTCTGAGCTCATCCTTTTGTTTATTCTTTTTTTGCTCTCCACCTCCCTTATCTGTGGTCCTCAGGGGATCTCCAGGGCCACACGGGAGGTCAGTGCCACATGTTCCAACAGGCCAACTCAGGCTGCTAATTAAAACTTCTCGGTCGCTTGGAAAGTGTCAGGGACGGAGGCAAGTAGGTACAGACGAATGGTGGATGATCCACATCTGCTCAGTGCTAAAAAATGATCAACTGTGTGAACTAAAACTGTAAATAAAGCCAGAGATCTTCTGGTTTTATCACTCACAAAATGTCTCAAATAAAAAGTAAATAAAAATCCCTGAGTCTGGACTGATGAAGTCTGGGTAAACATGAGCAGAATTACCTTCTCATGTGGCATATTAATGTATTGCACGCCTGATCTGTGAGACAGCTCTGAGCTACTCCACTGACAGCAGCACACGAGCCGGCAGACGTGGGGAAAACAGCTAGAAAAGAGGAGCGTGCACGACAACGTGTTGTGGCTCTGATGAGAGAAGTGTGCAAATGCATCTGCATTTCAGCGTGCTTGCACGGTCACGTGGGTTTTCTTAAATCTGAGATGCTGTTTATAAATAAAGTAACAATATGTTCAGATTCTGATGTTGGTCTGAGTCTCCTCTATGTTACCTGGGATTTGGGATGCTCGTCAGTGTGCCTGTCTCCTTGTTCCTGAATGCAGAGCTAAAAACAAAGAAAAAGATGACACAGCAATTTGTTGTTAAACATGGTAGTAAAGAATCACTTTGAGAATAAGCAGCAGAGAAATCATGGGAGGGCAGTTATCTACTTAGGGAGATAAATTACCCTACACTGCCCTCAAGTGCTTTAAAGGTGTAACAGCTTGACAAGGTTCAACAAAAGCGTCACCAAAACAGCTTAATGTTGCAGGAAGCTGATCTTGGAATATATCTTCTGATTTGTAAAATGAAATGCATCTTTTGCAGGAGGAAATTTAGATGTTTGGGTTTTTTTTGGTAACAAGAGCAAATTAGTGAGTCATGTCAAAAAACTGTGGACACATTGTAGGTACAAGCAAATCAGAGTCAGAGAGATTTATTTGTCATTTGCATCTCATGTGGTACATGTGGTGGAACAAGATTATGTACACAGGGTCCCAGTTACATCCAACAGTAAAATGTAAAAGAAAAACATTAATAAGATCTAAGAGATGAACTAAGTAAAACATCAGCTAAATAATACACTAAGTACTAATAGCATAAAAACATAACGTCGAACAGCAGCACAAACATGAGTCTGTGTGAGCAGATGAGCACGTATAAACACAGCAACATGAAACAGATCAGCAGCAACATGAAACAGATCAGCAGCAACATGATGTGATTTTTCACAATGATTATTCTGGTTAGAGATTCATGAGTCTAACAGCCTCAGGGTAGAAGCTGTTCCTCAGTCTAGTGGTTCTACACTTAATGCTCCTTAACCTCCTGCCTGAGGGGAGCAGGGCAAAACATGTGTGTGCTGGGTGAGTGGGGTCCTTCATGATGCAGGTGGCTCTCTTCCTGAGGTGTAGATGTCTGTGATGGTGGGGAGCCTGATTCCGACAGACTTCTGTGCAGCCTTCACCACTCTCTGCAAAGCTTTTCTTTCTGCAGCTGTGCAGCCTCCATGCCACACGTTGATGCTGGAGCACAGGATGCTCTCCACTGCACACCTGTAGAAGGAGGTGAGGACTGAGCTTCACAGACCAGCTCGTCTCAGCCGCCTGAGGAAGTAGTCTCTGATGAGCTTTCTTGATCAGGCTGGTGGTGTTGTTGCTCCAGCTGAGGTCGTCATTCAGGTGCACACCCAAGTACTTGTAGCTGGAGACCACTTCCACCGCAGATCCTCTTATGTTCAGGGGGGTGTAGGTGTGTTTGTTCTTCTGAAGGCCACAATCATCTCCTTTGTCTTCTTCACATTGATGTGAAGGTTATTCTCTTTGCACCAGCTCTCCAGGTGTTCCACCTCTTGCCTGTAGATGGACTCATCATTGTTTGTGATGCATCCCACCTCTGTTGTATCATCTACAAACTTTACAATGTGACAGCCTGGATGGGTAGGTGTGCAGTCATACGTGAGCAGAGTGAACAGGAGAGGACTCAGCACACATCCCTGAGGAGAGCCAGTGCTGAAGGTTATGGTAGAGGAAGAGAAGTTGTGGATCCGCACTGACTGTGGTCTGTTTGTTAAGAAGTCTAGTACCCAGTTGCAAATGGAGGGGCTTAGTCCTAGTGTGAATAGTTTGTCCATCAGGGTTTGGGGGATCGTGGTGTTGAAGGCAGATGTGAAGTCCACAAAGAGCATACAGATGTAAGATACACCCATATACTCACTCACACATCCAGATGAACTCTGGTTACCTTTATTCCTCTGTTCGTCTATCCTCAACCCTCCTTCCTTCCATTTGTCCCTAACACTTTCCTGGCACCGTGCCAGCTTCATCTCTTTGGCAGCATAATGAGCCTTTTCAGAGTGAGAAGGCAGTTGAATGTTAATTAGATCAAATCAGCCCTTTCACAGTGCTGGGAAATGGGAAACAGACATGTCAGACCACTTGAAGTTTCAGAGAGGAGAAACAGACTGGAAATAGACAGAAGGTTGGTAGAAGTCCCCCCCCCCCACCCTTCTCCTCCAGTGCTCCTTTTGTTCCTCCCTTCTTTCACACATCTTCTTTCGCTCCTGTCATGGAGACTTTTTAGGCACTAAATCAGAATGTGACACACCCAGCAGACTCATGAGTTATTTCTAGGGAGTTGTTCCTTAAAGAAAATATTTTAGAGGTGGAGAAAAGTCCAATAAAAGTGAACTAAGTTAAACTCTTGTGCTGAATCATTGCGCAGCATTCTTCTCGCTCTTGTCCAGTGAAAAGATACAGATAATGTAAACACTGACCATGTAGAAACAAGGTTTCTGGAGCTGCCAAATGACTAGTCCTGGCTACTGTTCAAGTGCTGATTCAGTGCATGTGATAAATAAATGGGGAAAGACGGCTAGAAATAACAGTGTTCAACTAGAGTAAGTGCACAATAACCCAGAAGTTCCAGAGCTCAGTTTCAGCCAGTCAGAACGTTATACACACATTTAGAAAGAAACCTTAACATCGATGGGCTCTAAACCTGAGTGTGTGTGTTTTATAGTAGAAGATCATCTGCCAGCTTCCTCTGATTTTGCAGTTTATGGATTGAGCAGCTTGTGTTAGTGCCACTAAAAGTGTGAGTGTTTGCTTCAGGCTTCAGACTGAGGCCGAGCAGCTGTTCAGGAGTTTGTGCATACTTTACACGGGGCGTGGGGGGCAGTGGGGTTGTCTGAGTTCAGTGACAGGGTGACATTTTACAGCCCAGCTGGTGGTACTTTATCTGAAAATGTCTGTTAATTATGACATCCAAGTAAAACTGTAGTGTTTGTACATATTTGAGTTTTTATCAGATTTTACAGCTTATTTCTATTAAATGCCTAAAGTGCAGAGAGAGAGGATTAAAACAAAACAAACAAACAAAAAAAAAAATATATATACAAAGTATATATATATATATATATATATATATATATATATATATATATA